ACAAAAAACAAAAAATGGCTTCAAAGAAAGGTTGGAGAGTTGTTTGCCAGTACTATATTCCTACTTGTCCTTTGAGATGCCTGTTGAGTTAATTGTGAGTCTCTGACCACCCCTAAGGGCAACAAGCCAGGCAGAGTGGCTACCCATATCAATTTAAACTGGTCCTTTATAATTTATACTGCATACTTCTGCGCTGTTACTACAGAATGAAGGATACATAGTCAAAATGCTTCGAAATGTTTGTGTTACTGCTTCTTACTTCTTCACCGTGCCAGCTTGAGGCCCAGAGGAGCCTGGCCACCAGTCAAAGCATGGGTTACAGACTGCAGATGCTGCCAGTTGGGACCAGAGGTGACCCTTCGACCTGCCCAGATTTACAGCCCCGTTCGCATGGCTCTCCCTAACACCCCGCCGCAGCCCGCAGAGCCGCTGCGGTCGGGCTCTGCCTCTCGGTGCAACAACATGACCAGAAGGGGAAAGGGCTGAGTCAGCTTTGTCAGCACGTTGCTGCCTTCACAGCAATGCTAGGGAAGGTCTCCCGGTCACCCATAGCTGCCACCACATATTTGTCTTGTAATCAGAGCTCCCAGTACACGGCCCGACTGGCGGTACAGCATCCCAGCTCGTGGGGTCACGGCTGCAGAGGGAACTTGACGGCCGATGGGGAGACGGAGGGCACAGCAGCGGGAGCACCCCCGGCCTCGGCAGCCCTTGGCAGTGGGCTCTGCTGCCCGCACAGCCCAGGCAGAGGTTGGCTACACCACCTGGCAGGGACGATCATCCCTAGAAGGCAATGTCCTGATTTTGGAAGGGGCAACAAAGCTTATTCATTTGGAATTAGTTCAAGTCTCTCAACCAGAGCCCTAAAGAGCATTTTTCACAACTAAGGAGTGATAACAGAATTATTCTGTATATCAGGGTTCTTTTTTCAGATTAAATTGCATTCAGTGGCCTATTTAAAAAATAACATTAATAGTAAATTGAATGCTTGGTTTACAACCAAGCATACATCTTCCCCACCCAGCACACCAACACTCAATTTCAAAAAAAAAACCCAAAAAAAACCAAATAGTTTTTCTATAAAAACACCTGTGTATATATACATATCCAGGGGCCTAATCCTATTCAGCTCCCATCTTGGTTAGAGTTATCTTGACTTAGAAAACATATGTCGACTGTTGAATTTATCGCTTTCTGAAAAGTTCTCTTCTCTGTCTTACGGCTCATTAGCTGACACTAAAACTGACAGAAAAGTCACCTATTTTGTTCAAGCAAATTGTCTTGTTTTGTAGATCTTTTATTTCTGACTCAGTTATTCCTGAATAATTATGAGTACAGTCTAATAAACTCATCTTCCTTTTTCCAGGAAAAAAAGCATTGCTATAGAGGATTCTTATTTATTTTGACAGAAGAGCAAAACAATCTGAAAACTTTCAGTTGAAAAGGATTATGTTTGAACATCCTTTCAAATTTCTATTCTGGCAATCTATTATTTTTCCTATGTTCCACATAGTTAACTAATTTTGTTTTCTGTGCTTCAGTAATATCAGAGATCCTTTTTCTCTAAATTCATAAAGAATTTAACTTCATTTTGTTCTATTCCTCCCTCTTTTCTCTTTCACAGTCCAGAGAAATGGTCAGCAACTGTAATCTTAAAAAATACTTCTACTTCATATGAAAAAGTTTGGGAGAATATATGATCCAGTAGTCTTTTTGTCTAGAAATGTGCCTGATTTTCCACCAGCTTTTTTTCGTTTAAAATCTATTATGACATGGGTCATCCATACTTCCCCTTCTCTGCACCATCATAATGGGCAAAATAATCCGGTAACTGAACAGCCCTAGGACAATGTAGATGATGCACGCACCATCCACAGAAAGAAAATGTGGAAAAGCAAGTCAACTGGTTTATATACAGTAGTAATAAAGTCTAGAGGTAACATACGTGGAAGAGTAATTTAATTTGATCTATCTTTATGGTTCCTAATTCTAATTCAGCAAAGCATTTAAATTCTTTTGCACTTAATTTCTTTGAGGAATCATGGTTCAACTGTTTCAAAGAATGTATCATCAACCTCGTCCCTGGAGGTGTTCAAGGCCAGGCTGGATGAGGCTTTAAGCAACCTGGTCTAGTGGAGGATGTCCCTGCCCATGGCAGGGGGGTTGGAACTAGATGATCTTTAAGGTCCCTTCCAGCCCAAACTATTCTATAATGCTATGAACAAAACGCTATATAGACAAAAATTCAGTTGCATGTAATTTATAACATTCATTTTTCTATTTGCATTGTGATTTTATTAGTACAATGTTTGTAGAATGTAAATTATTTCATTTCAATATCTACAACCGCAACATTTTAATTTGTTGAGTTTTGCTTTTAACACTGCCGATCTGAAATAATGAAGTTGTCTTCATTGGAGTTGGTTCAGTTATGTGGAGAAAAAAAATCTAGCCCTGTAACTGTACCATTCTGTGATTTCACAAACACTACTTTTTTTTTAATAAGTATTCTTTTGATAAATGAATAATCCCTTACCACAATAAAAGAGTAATTACGAACATATAGCGAACTCTTAATCCCATACCTTATATTAATAAGAACTAACCTAGTAAAAATAATCTACTGCAAGAGGGGTGTCTGCTGACACAGCCTTAATATGCACTTTCAGGTTTCTATCAGATCTATGTTGTGTTGAATATATCTTAGTTTAAAAAAGAAGAAAACATTTGAAACAAATGTTGAAAATATTCATAAGCCTGTTCTATTTTTTTTTTCCAAAAGGAAGACTAAATTCAACGCTGTATGAAACAAATCTTAAAAACAGATGGTAAGTCAGTTTAAACTTTGTTCAGAGGTTAATTAAATTACATGGATCAAAAATCACCTGAACTTTGTTCATGTCAAATTACTTCTTTACTTTTTTTTTTCGTTTGTTTGTTGGCATTTGCTTTGGCTAAATGAACAAAGGTGTCAGTACTCTTCCAAAAGTAAAGCAAATATAGGGAATATTAATAGTCAGCTAAGAGGTCATATTCCTTGATGAACATTAGTATTGATAATTCAAAAAATACAGATCTACTGTGGGGAAAAAAAAAAAAAAGAGGCATTAGAGAACTCTTATTCTACTTTCTGTTGGCTTAACACGCAAGATAGTAATCAAGCTTCATTACCAACTTCATGTGCCTTCTCTGACATAATTCAAAGAACTTTGTTGGTGGCTTCTGTGGGGTTCAGTTGGTCATGGGGTGGCGTGATGCAGGACTGCTGAGCATGGCAGGAGATTTTAAGTCTCCTGACAGACATTAGGAAATATCTCACAACCACAAAATATGGCTAAATATGCATACTTGCTTTATGATTGGCACTCTCAGAGACTATTTCTTAAAGTTACGAATGCATTATCCAGGCTGAGTGGACCTAATTTTGTTATGCAGTGTATTTAACTTGCAAAATATGGTAAAATACGCTTTGTATAATATTCATTAATGCGGATGAAAGAAACAGGTTTTGTTATTTAGTAATAACTCTAGCAGAAGAGAAGTGCCTATAGAACCAGCAAAACACAAGCTGAAACTATTTGTATTCTCTCACAAAGAATTAGAAAATTATTACACCTTTTTCCTACCCTCTAAATTCCCAATCAACATATCATGCCTAAAAATATTTACATTTCATTGTTTTATTTTACTTTGAAGTTGTGCTTCCCTAAGTTTTAGTCTTAACTTAATATTAACTTTTTGCTTTATTCCATTTATTAAACTTTACCTGAAAAACAATGTTACATTAGAAAACAACAAAGGAAATTGAATTTAATGCAGGTAGCCACAGGAGCATAAGAACATACAATTTACCATATCTCCTCAAATGACTGATTTTGCAAAAGCTTGAGTGTTTGGGTTTTTTTTACTAACAAGTCACTGATAAATTATTTTTCAGAGGCAAGTAAAATAAAAGAAACCTACAATGCTTTGAGTCCCTAGCCAGATCCCAAAATTACCACATTTACTTGAAAAAGTCTCATTTTTCTCAAAATAGCGTGCTCAGTTTTAGTGAGTTATCATTTGCTGAGATACTGTAGAAAGTCCACAATGGTCAGGCATAAATACGTAAATCTTTACTGTTCTGGATGGGAAGAGACAATTAAAAAACACAGAATCATGTCTGATTAATTTTCTATTAAAACAGATTTATTGTTCAGATTTCTTTAAAAAAAATCATGAAGTTCAACAACACTCAGAAAGAGTGATAGACAAGCAGATTTTAGGCTTCAGAGGTGATTCTGGACACCTCATCGTTGCTTTTCTGAAAATAAGGCCTTCAGTAATTCAATGATTTTCTGTAGTAAGCATTTTAAAATATAATATATGCGAGATAAGCATTTTAAAATAACTTTTTATTAACTCAGAAGAACTGTCACTTATTTGGCCTATGGATTAATTGCCCAAGTAATACAGCAGCTAGAAGAAAAATTTTCAAGGCACCATGACAAAGGGCAACAGGCAATTTTACCAAATATATCTATGCCAAGCTCATGACTGGACCATGTGAAAGAGCCTTTGCTGAAAAAGTGTTACTTTTTTTTTGGCACAAGAGCAGACTAAGGAAAACAACAGAAGAAAATAATCCCTTGTTCCAAAATTGTGATAGTCCTCTCTCTAACTTCCAGCTAACTGTCTCGAAGCTAAAGTCCTTATGTGTAAAAATGCAGAGCTCCTGTTTTGCAAGAGGAAAAGCAGCAGGACAACCCTCAGTTTATTTCATCCTTGTCACCCAGAGGTAAAGCACAAGGAATGTCACTGATGCTGACATTCGTTAGCAAGTACTTCCAAAACTGTGAACTGACCTCAAGCGGCCCAAGCCTTCAATGCGTCTGCAATGAAACTGGAGGGCTATACATTGTTCACATATTGTCTATCCTTTTCATAACTGAAGTGTTATGTTGCCCTGGGATTTTCTGTTTGCTGTCTCTAGTCTGCTGGCTTTACTCTATCCATTCCTTTCAGTCTCCCTGCTGAAACACTAAAAAATCAGCCCAAGCCAGTATCTGTAGAGGAGGGAACAGAAACAAGTATCTGTTTTCTATGCATGTCTAGCAGGTAGGGAAGCACAAAAGGAAATTTTACTTTGTTCTGTCTCCTTACAAAACGTGTGTTTCAGTGAAGAAACTGTATGTTTCTTTGCGAGTGTTCCTCTGGTGCCCTTGCCACATCGTTGAGGCAGACACAGGGGAAGCAGTGGTGCTGATGAAAGTGAATCAACCCTTCAAGACGTGTAATGATTTCATAGTCGGGAAGAGCCAGGCTGGCAATGTTGAGGCCCAGCATCCGTGAAACCACCTCTCGGAAGTCTGCCAGCTGCAAGAGGAAACAGAAAGGAATTACTAATAAGTTAAATGCCAAGCAAAGGAGGTGCCTGGGAAACATATACGAATATGCAATACATACAAACACAAGCATTTGTATTAGCGGTGCAAAATACAGGAATTTCTGCTGATGCTCAATACAGAGAGCTGAAGACGGAAACAGCCTTTTGGGGCATACCTCGAAGAACAAAGCAAGTAAACAGCTTAGGTGCTTAAGATCTTGAACGCAAAACACAGTTTCAAGTATTATTTAGTACCCTTCATAGGCATTATCTATCTTGCCTGCTGACTCAACAGCAAAAACTGAGGAAAAGATGGGAAGAGGAGTTATACTTAACCTACATGACTGCAAACTACACAAACAACTGGAAACTCTAATGAGGGCATCCCACAGCACAGGCAGAGGTGCTGGTCCTGACCACTGCCTGCCAACACTCTCCTCCAGCACGCACTTTCTTGTGGAGACCACAGCAGAAAGGAAGAAGTTAGAAGAAAGGTGGAGGTTTGGCACATGCTTCAGTCTGACTTTGGCTTGGAATCAGGATGCAGGCAGAATTCAAGGTGCAGTCACTTTTTGTCTGTGTGTAGCTGCTGAAAATATATCATAGGGTATTTGGCAAAGTAATTAAAGAAACTAGCTTTCTCTCTGCAGTTCCAAATGGACAGGCATCCACATGGAATTGTCATTAGACTGAAAACTTAAGATTGGATGAGCATGAATGCTGATTTACTCTTACCAGCTTACAATATGGTTCATTATAAGTCCGACTTCAACACCTCTTCAACGGACAATGCTTTACACAGCCCAAATAACCAATATCTTAGCACCCCTGATCATCAACACAATTAAAAGAGGAAAATGTTCCTATTTTAGGAAATATGCTTGTCTTGCTATCTATTTAAACGTCCAGATCCCCATTCCCAAGCATGACAGAGACTCAAAATGTCACAGAAACATCAAAACCATCAAGAAGCTGGACTCGCAATGTTGTGTGGCAGCACCCTCACTCCACCAATCAAGGTGACAGCTACTGGTAAGGAGGAGATAAATGTACTCCTGAAATCACGTCCAGCCCCAAGAATACTGTGCAGAACTCTAAAGCAGTTAAAACATCTGTGAGGAAGCTGCAAAATCTCTGAAAACAAGGTCTCAGTTCCAAGACTTTGCCAAAGACATTTTGTTTCATCCCAGTACAAACCCTAAGGAACTGCCATTGGTTCAGAAGAACAAACATGGAAACCAAGACAGTATAGGGCAGAAGGATTTGGGAATTCAGTCCCAGCTATCTGTCTTACCAAGGCAGTGCAATGTCTTGGATGAAACATTGAAACAACGTAACACCAAAAGCCCCCAAGTTCCCACGTACTCTTTTCACCATCAAAGTGGAAGGTCACTGAGGTGGGCCTCTGGCAGTGTGCTAGGCAAGTACAATTTAGCAGAAGCTAAAGATTTTTTTAAACATCTGGATCACAGACAAAACGAGCAGGCAGCAGAGCCAGAATTTGTTTCCATACAGACTTTATGTTAAAAGATCAAGGCAGCCCTCTGCAAAGATTCAGTCTTTGGATGAATTAAACCCCCACAAGATGCCTACACAGCGAACCAAACTGATCCCCTGGAAGCACATTAGGGTCTGCACTTTGCACCAAATTCCTGCTCTCATACCTTTGCTGTTGCAAGCTGTTCAACTTAATTACAGCAACTGTGAGTACACCAAATTGGACTACAACCATGTATCAAATGCAAACAAATTAAATTTGATTCACTGACATAGATGATTGACCTGGCAGAATTTTGCCAGAGGGAATAGATATAAATTAAAATGTATACACAATCATCTCATCTTTATTCCTGATGAGAAGAGCAGGAAAATTTGCTCTACTGAATGGACAATAAAAACGTTAAGAATTCAATAATTTTAATCAGCAAATAAACTGGAAAGCACACAAAGCATTTAAAGAAATCCCTTAAGCCATTCCTTCATGTGAATTTTAATTTGAGGATTTTTTCCACTTCAATGGAACATTTAGACAAAACCCAACTTTTCTGACTATTATATTGTGGCATACAAAGTACAGTGCAGACAAAGCTGTAGTTCAGTGAAAATGTAGAAAAAGGGTTGACTACACAGAGAAATTCTCCACATAAACTGATAAAGAGAACCGTGACTCTTGGATGTAAAATGCCCCACCAGGGGACGTCAATCTGAATTTTAAAAACTCCAGACACAAACAATAGATGATACACGCTGGAAGATCTTTAGAATGCTGTCACGTCTCACGTGGAGCAAGACGTGTGTTTATCCTCCTAAGTGGATACAGTACTGCAAGCACATCATGAACAACTTTGTAACATCTTCCACTAACACATATAAGATCTAGGAAAAATAATTTGATGAGAAGTATATTTCAGCTTTAAAAGCAATGCAACAGAGGTATTAACACAATAGTTCTGCTGAAATATGACAAGCTAATAGAAGTACCACCTAACTCTCTGTTTAAGGCTTTCTTCAATAGCAGTTAATATTTCTAAGATAGTCACAATTTGAAATAAAGGAGGGAAATAATAAGACAAACATCACTAAAGACTCTAAACTAAAGGTTTACTACAGCAGTAAGCACTCATGATAAATTTTCTTAACCTCCCATCCAATCAGTAAAATTATCTGAAGTAGAGAGAAAATGAATGAAATTTAGAGCATTAATCCGATATATTAGGAGAGAGGAAACAGGAGTAAAAAACAGACACTACATTTTGTTTTCACCTTGTACCCACAGGAAAGTAGATACGTCTTCTTCCAGTAGAAAGGAAAAAAGAAAAGAGAAAATAAGGGAAAGTAGGCCTGGAAAAAATCCTTATAACAAAATCATCAAAAACTCAACCAAAACATTGATATTTATATTCTTACTCCAAGTACTACTGCAAATAAGGACTTGAGTTAAACTGATATAAAAATAAAACATATTCAGATTTTAATCTGTAGTTGACTGCAGGTGTCACATACTGATATTATCAGTCCCTGTGAACATCCCTTTGTCATCAGTTATCATGCATACCCTTTATCTAGTCTTATTAAAATTAATGTCAGCTCTGTTGATATTTATTTATATTCAGAAATATGCAATAATGATACATTAAGTCAGAAATTCTTCTGTTCACCCCACAGACGGAGGAAATTGAGTATGGATATATGTAAACTTAGACTTAGTCTTGTAAAATTTCAATATATCCAACTAATTCTCCACTATATATCCATTCTAGTAATCTCTGCTTTTTTGACTCTTCACATATATCCTCACCTTTCTATGCTTTTACTCTGCAGTATAATTTAATAAAGCTCTCAACACCATCTTTTTAAATGGTTTTATATGTCTATCCAAGAATATGCACACTTTGCTGTTATTTGCTACAGCCACCAGAGCTGACTGTTAATCCTAACGCAGATTGGCAGCGTCATTACACTCTGCTTACAGGGCTTCTCTTCTAAGAAATTAGATGCTTTGATTCTCTACATTCTCTTAAGAAAAAAAAAAAACAAAAGAATAAAACTCAAAAATGCTGAAGCTAAATTTTCTTAAACTTAATAGGAATTAATAGTCTGAAGAGCAAATAACAACCAGAAGCACTGTGTTATATCCCAATTATGAATTAATTTTAAATTATTTCAATCCCATCTTAATTTCTGATTTCACTTAGGTATGTTCTGCCTTTCTTTATGATCACAAGACAAATCAATGTCTCAACCAGCTGGCAGTAGTTTAATTCTGGCAGCACGGAAAATAGCCACACAATATTACAATGTTATTTAACATTACACATAGCGATACCCATGGAAAGCTGAGCATATCTAAAAAAAAAAAACAAACACGCAAATGCATGTATAGGCAGTCAATTTGGTCACATCAGCAACTCCATCAGGTAACAGCAATTCCAGTTTCTAGTAGTTGTCTTAATGTGCATACACACAAATGACATGACTGTCCTTCTATTCAGATTAAATACATACATGTGTTCAGAGGAGTATTTAACATCTGCATTTGCTACCTTTTACAGAGAGTGAGAGAAGTCTGATCTTGTTTAGCTTCCCTGAGAAGGAAGAACAAGTGAATCCAAAGCAGGTGAAGAACTACACAGGGTTGGGGATAAGGAAGGAATTTTCCTTGAGTTCAAGAGAAGTCAAAAAAAACCCTCACAAGTTAATTAGTGTGAGAGAGTTCGGAATGAATTCTCTGATTTAGCAAAAGGAGCTTTATTTTAAGGACAGATTTTAGCTAAGGAAACTGTTAAGATACAGAAGAGTATGCTATGAATATTACCAGCAATTCTCATATTCTTAAAATACCCTTACTATTAATCAGCACTGCACAAGTACCAGATATTGGTTTCACGAACAGCTTTGATCCCAGTTTAGCAGTATAGTTCCAACTGCAGGTGTTCGAAATGTTCCTGCAATGCAGATGATTGTGGATGCTGGTGAATTGAAATTGTTATTTTTCTTTCACTGACTCAGAAAGCTTAAGAACTAGGGCTGTGCTGTCCTTGAGCATTCTGTGCCCACTTAGCTCACTTTTCCCATGTTCTTCAAATTTGGCCAAAGAACACTGCAACAGTATTTAAGTGGCTTGAAACACCTTGAGTTCAGACAGTAAAAACTCAACATTTTTGTGTTTTTAGCAATTACTTAATGTATGAATCTGCAGAATAATTTCCTGAATTCATACCTTCTTCTGTGTGCAGGATGCTTTGTTTCTTCATGAGACATATGAAGAATTTAAATTTTCCTACCAAATTTCTAGCCTTCATTATAAAACAAAACAGTGCTAAAGCCTTCCAGGAAGAAAGATCCCAAGTCTTTTCTCCATGTGAGCAAAAAAATAATTTTCAAGACTCATTTTTTGAAATAGCATTAAATTTCATCCAGAATCATTTCTAAGGCAAATATATAGCTTAAAAAATTTGACTGGAAAAACTAACAAAGTTCTAAGCAGTTGGAATAAGGAATTTAAAATTATACATTTTTTTACTTTAAAGAAGCATCCCATTGACTTTCAATGATTACGCCATCTATAATGATGCTACAAAACACAATGTGCAGGGCAATTGCATGCATACTTCACATTTTTTTGAAATTAGAATGGAACACATTTACTAACGTGTTTCTCACAAACTCCTTGCACCCTCTCCAAGGTGAGTTATCACGAAAACTTTTCTCACCTAAACTTTAACAAAGTTATACGCCACAAATCGACTCAAAATAGTTACATTCACTATTAAGTCTGGTTTGGTTTGCTTTTTCATTTTCAGATCTTTTCCAACATTCCTTGAGTTTATGGCCTATACATGGGAATATGTAAGTTTTATACCTAAGATATGTGGAAAAACAGACCTTAAAAGATACTAGGATTTTAAAGCAATTTTTGTACTTCTCCAAAAGGTGATATAATATTTTGCAATGAATAAAGAACTCTTGCGTATTTAACTTGAAGAACAGCTTTGCCTCTCAGAATCACAACTGCCACTCTGGCTCACAAGCATGAACTAAAATTTTCTTCTTTAATCATGTCCACAAAAGTTTTCAGCACAGCTGAATAGCTGCTCCATCTATACCACATTCTTATATTCTAAGCGACAGTTAGCACTTGCCAAATACCTATACACCTACCTGTCTCTCTCTTTTTGCTAATTCTGCAAGGGTTGTTTTAAGCACCTTCATCTCACTGGTAACTGCTTCTAACATATTTTTGGTTTTTTCTTTATCTTCAGCAGCTTTACGCTCCTTTAAAAGTAGTTCTGATTTGACAGAGGTAAGTTGTGTCTCAGCCTTTTCTTTCATTCTTTCCAATTTGCCTTGAGACTTACTGAGTTCTTCTATTGTTCTGTTCTGCTCCAAAGTTTTGATCTGCAATAACATCAAGTGATGATAAATTTGTCACACTTCTTCATCTAACATGAACAAATAAAAATATCAGGAGTAATCATGAGTAAGCACTCTAACGTGGTTTCTTATGGGTTCTTGATGAAATTACATGTACCTGTGAACTGAAAAGTTACTAAAGGATACTAGCCAATTTCAACTCAATTAACAAAATATTTTTATTTCAAAGGCAGTTAATTGTCTTCAGATTTTGTGAAAAGAGGTAACTGGACAGACAAAAACCCACAGTGAGAGTTCACTCTGTGCTAGACCCTGGAAAAATAGTATGAAAAAGAGTTGCCAAATGTTTTGTTGGTAAAAATCCTTCAGTTGGAACACACACCTACTTATCTATTTCACTCCATCAGCTGCGAGACACAAACTCACAAAAAAAAAATCAATCTTCCTTTCTTTCAACAGTAGCGAGCTATCAATGATTGCAAACTACTTGTTTTCACCTGAGTTAAAGCAGTTAATTTATTACTGATGCAATGTAGTGAAACACAGGAAAAAATAAAATTTAGCATCTTGTCTGTTTTATGAGAAAAAAAATCCCTTCCCCCCCCACATCTATCAGAATAGATAATATATAAGATTACAGCCACATCAACAGGAAAGAAAGGGATGCATATATAGTATTTTTCTTACCCTAGCCTGAAAATTTACATTGTGCTTTACAGATGCTACTTAATATATCAAGACAAATTGCAAAATACCCAAAACATTGTACTATTATCTTCGCTTTCCTCACCTAGATGGATTTGAGCAGTTCTCCATAAACACATTTGTTGTAAATGAACTCCAGCTGTATGCAACTGCAATAGAAAAATGTATAGAAGCACCAATGGTAACCTTTTAACTCACCTTAAGTTCATTGGTTTCAGACAGCTTGGCTTTGAGATCAGTATTCGTTTCCCTTGCCAGATCAAGCTGCTTCTGTAACCTCTCTGTCATCTTGTGTAACTTTCTGGCAGCGACATTGGCCGCATCCCTCTCCATAGCTAAGGCCGTCCTTACTTGCTTCTCTTCTTCCAGCTGGGTTATTTTCTGCCGCAGAAGGTTCATGTGCAGCTCTTTGCTTTCAAGTTTTTCTTTCTGATTCTTCAACTAGTTTTCCAAACACAAACATATTTGAAAAGAAAGGCAATGGTACTACACAGATTGTTTTGTAGATTTAATCCCCATGTTGCATATTTAACTTGAACTTCTATTCCTCTCTTGAAAACTCTATAAAGCAGTATAAATATATATACACTAACTTGATACCTCTTATATTACCAATTCATTGTGCTTCTTCCTGAATTTGTGCATTACCTTTCACAATGAATCTACATACAGACTGCACAAGTATTTGAACATAAATACTTGTGCATCATTCATAACATCTGAGATTGTCTGAAATATAAGACACTTGTCAGATGCAAGATGTAAGAGACATTCATTAAGGAGACAGTGGTTTCAGTGGTGGTAGTTTAAGATACTTCCATCTATAATCAGTTAATTCAGGCTAGTGTGCAAGATGCAGAATCGACCTACAGAAATAAGAAAGCTTTTATCCATTGCTTCAATACAAATTCCAGCACCTTAGTTTTGTAATTTTGGTGCTCAAGGGCTGCTTGTTTTCAGTTTACCTGAGCTGAGCTGCCAGGCTTTACTCTGAAACAGCTGAGGAGTATTAACATACCATACTCCCTGCTAGAGAGGCAGTTGCTTCCAGAAAAAAATACAGTGGTGGTTTAAACCTTAAACAGACCTAATGCTAAGCTGTACACCATTCTGATAAACCTAAAACCAGAAGATTTCACTCCATCATAACAGGATGATGAAGGGGTGTTTGACCAAATTTGAACAGGTTTGCTCCTAAAGGAGCACAATTCTCATTGGAAATGTTGAAATTCTTGGTGAAGCACGACCAATGTCTGACTACTTTCTAGAGAAGATTGTGTAAGATGCTCCCCTTCCCAGCAGATCCTTTTAGATTTAAATATCAGCAGTAGTTGTTTACAGAAGTATATTACAAATGTGTATTAAAAAGTAGACATATATACATGTATAAACACACATAATTTTATATGTTTATTTAATAAGTTGTGAAAAGTAGTATCACATACTGAACTGACTGGTGGTTTTAGTTGTTTCAGTATGCAGTCTGTTTGTACAGTTTGTGAAAGCTTACTATCTTCTTTATATGTAATAGACATCTTTGAAATTCCTTGTATATACATGAAGCTCCAATTTGCTGTCTCTAGCAAGCCACTATAGAAACAGAGCCACGTTTACCTTTGAAAAAAACAGTAAAGGTATGTCTTTTTTGCCTACCTTCCTTCTTAGGCTATATGCCATAGTCTTGTTTTCCATCACAGCATCACCTTCCAGTTTCACTAACTGCTCTACACGAGCTAGAATCACATCCATATTCATATCAAATCCAACATCTGCTGCTAGGCTATCCAGCTTCATCTTCTCATTAAGTTGCTCCAGAAATTTCAGATACTAAGATAAGATGCGGAAAAGTGGGTAAAAGAATAATAAAATTTCATTTAAAAACAATTTAGATTTAAATTCAAATTTCATTTAAAAGCTTTTTAATTTAAAAGCAATTCCAGCTACACTGGCAAACAACTATACATAGCCAAGTCTACTAACCACAAGAAATAATGTACTGAAAGGGTATGTTTATAGTACACACTCCTCATACAATTGCAGATTCTCCCTTAGTTCTTTTTGAGTCAACATTCATTTTGTTCATAGATCCCTGGACCAAATGTATTTTATCTTCCTAGCAAGACCAAATCGGTTTTTGCTCATCTGCAGTAAGAAGAGCACTAGTTATGTGTGCCTGCTTCTGACTCCAGTTCCCGTCTGTGGCTCTCCTGCTTTACACGACTGTGTATTGGCAAAGAGAAGTTAGAAAAGACAGCTACATCCCAACTAATTGCAAGTGCTGTGATTGCCCACTGCTGTGAGCTCTAAAACAGATAAAACTGGTACCACAGATGCCATGGGTGAGATCTGATGTAGTCTGAGGAGATGCAGGAATGTTAACATGGTTGGTCTTTTGTCCTTTGGAACAGCATATTTTAGAGATAACAGTTATTGCTTTACAAATTGCTTTAAAGATTATTTTAATTGGATTTCCATCTAGTTTACTGATGTGAACACATACAGATATGAAATATTTTTTAATCTGTTCTTTCCTTCTTTTTTCCTGCCCTGCTAGCTCTTTAAAAATTGTATTAGTTTCCTGGTCTCAGTGAGCCTCTCTTGCAAAATCCAAAGCTCTCCTTCTCACTAAGAAGTCTGTTCGCCTTTGTTTTCTCTTACTTCAGTTGCAGGACATAATCTTTGCAAAGAAACAACAAAGGAAAAAAAAAAAAAGCACAACAACAAACCAGTGCTATAACTGTTGCTTGAGCTCAAGAAATTAAAACATAGTAAGAATCTCTTTTTGTTTCATGACACTTCTGGTTCAAAAATTTAAAAACAGCAGCAACAGAAGAAAGCACTGAAGTTGTTCATTAAAAGAAAAAAATCACAATAAAAATCTCTTTATTGCAGCAAAATCTAGAGAGAAATGAAGAAACTAGGGCCACATGTTCTTCGCAGAAGAAGCAAAGGGGAAGGAATAGCTCCATTTTCTGGTTTGCTCCCAGTGTGTTGGATGCTTCACTCATAAATGTTATTGTATCATAGACTAATGCAAAACAGACACCACCAAATTGTCAATTCTTTGCAAACTCAACTTTCTAAGCACTGATCTTGGCCTAGTAACATGCTACAGCTTTATCTTTCTTAGCCGTATTGGATGGCTTGTTTAGCTTTCCAGGTACTATGGCATTTTTCAAACTCTTAGTATGCACATGTGTTATAGGCTAACAGTGTGTTCATTCATATAATTAATAAAAAAATCCTAGTAGCCTTGGTGGTCTAGGGATACAAAAGAATCAAGGACTGCAAGGTCTTGAGAGATTGCAGACCAGATGATACATTAAAGAAAGACAGAGATATTGGAGAAAGCTTTAGATCAGAGAATCCTTGAAGGACTTCTGATGTATTTTAATCTGTTTTTTTCATATTAAATGGACTTTAAACTCAAAATCTTAGCTACTTTTTCCAATAAAAATTGTTGGTCAAAGAAAAGATATTACTACTCCCTACATGATGCCTGACTTTGCTAGTCCACATTATTTGCAGTACTGTAATACTCCATCTGATCAATGCAATATAATTAGCTGCATCTCTGTCTTTACTGAATTTTATGCAAAAGAAAATAATGTGTGCAACTACTTTTTCTTTCTCAAGCTTCAAACCATCTTGCATCAGATCTACAGAGAGTAATTCCTCTTCCAAATGTTTCAGTTGATCCTGGAAAGTCTCAGAACAATTTTCTGCTTTCCTGCTCCTCTCCAGAGCTTCTTGGTATAATCTGGTCTGATTTTCCAAAGCTTCAGTCAATTTAGCTATTTGGGTTTCAAGCTGAGACACCATCTAGGGAGCAAGCAAACCAACAAAACACATGGGGTTAGGTGGGTGTGAAAACTTTAGAAAGATATAAAAATGCATCTTCTCATTATCAAAAGAGAGGGTAAAATATCTATCTTTAAAATATATCCATTTTAAAAGACAAAAAGAGAGAAACCTGCTGTAACCACCAGGGGAAAATGGCAAAAGTGGCAACATGTGAGACACCTGAAACTGAACAGCAGAAACCATATTTGAGTGTATAAAATAAAGGGGGATAATATCCATAAAAAATTAATATAAACTAATTTAAACACAAAATTTCCAAAGATGTTAGCAAACCAGAAATATCTAGCAGTCAACTAACATTCTTTAAAACAAGCCAATAAAATCACTACTCTATTGAGGAGCTGAGTGAAAAAAAACAGATAAAAGTGATTTAGAAAACACATACAGCATGTAGGTGAGAATGTAAATATGGTTAACTTAAGTCTCAGAGGAGTTCTTCCCAATTGTTAACTGTTAAAGTGTGTTTAACTAAAAGATTTTACTACAAAACTAATAATAATAATAATAATAGTAGTAGTTTCTGTAACCTAGCCAAAGCCCAAGGCTAAAAGGATAAAATCTCACACAAAACTAGACTAACAATTCTGAAAACACTTCTAGCTCTACACTGTTAACTTCACAACACCTGCATATATTGTAATTAAGTTGTAAATTACTTATGAATTAAATGCTTGAAAGCATCTGATTACACTACTGCCAAATACTGAAAGACAGTTCTATCCAAAAAGTTGCTTGCTTCCCTCTTTCCATCTCTCTTCCTCTTATTGTCATCCAATTATTTGGCTACGTAATTATGTTGCATTTGTAACTCAGTGTTCAGACACTCATCTCCAAGCAGTCTCTTCATTTTAAGCATTTGTTTGCCTCCTGTTAATAAAACGAACAATAAGAGCACAAAACTCCCATTAATTTTAATGGCACAGAAAGGTTTCCAACTTAGACTGCAATTAAATACAAACAATAGTTTGCACCCAATCCGCCTGAAAAACACTGAGAAATTACTGCTGCACCTACAATGGCAGAAACCACCAAACAATAACAAAACTGCAATTTTATGCTTTCC